CTCCCGCCTGCCTCGAGGCCCTGCTCTCCCCGAGCGGGAGGTGTGACGAGGAGGAGAGGGTCGTGGGCAGGCGAGGCGCCTTTGCCCCAAGCTTGGGGCGGGAAGCGAGACAGGGAACGTGTCCTTGCTGCCGTGTCAAGCGCTGCTGTCCTTCATAGCCAAATTCGGATGTCCTCCTTGTAAACGTAATTTCCAGATAATCACAGAAATAAAGAGGTGGTTTTGTCTCAGGAGCAAAGAGAGCGGCTTGCCTCGTCCCCGTGAAGGCTGCTCCCTGCGGCGAGGTTGCTCTCGCACGAGGCTGCCGGCACTGCGGGTTTGCGATCGCTCTTGGCATGCGAGTTGGCACATCCTGTGCGGCCAGAGTGAGATCGGGAAGGGTTTGAGAGCTCCCCTGTTTCTCAGTGCTAAAATTGTCTATGAAGAGAGAGGGCAGAGCACCGTATTTTCCGCATTACTATTTTCTTCTTGAGCCTGGTGAACATACATACATTTTTTTTCCCTCATCTTCTCTGAGCTTTGGAGGAGACTGAAAAATTCTAGGAAAATCCAAGGCTGTTTTCTGTAAAGCCAGCATGAGGCAGCCGGTGCTGCTGTGAGAAGGGGCTGAGGATGGCAGTGGTGAAGCTGGTGCCCACACGCCACAGGCAAGGCCCGTGCCTGGGAAGTATTGCTCTTGTGTCACAAGTAGATTGCCAGGATTTGGAGTCAAGAGCGGAAGTCTAACATTGTTTTTTTCTTTCTTTCTTTCTTCTTTTTTTTTTCTGGTGACAGTTGCCATACTGGATTTGGTCCTGGCTGTATGCCCTCTTCTTACTTTTTTACACAGGCTTCTGATTTTTCACTGCTGTCAAACATACCCAGGACCACATGAGTCTTTGGTCTGACCCAACATGATTGCTCTAATGTAGGATTTATGTTGTCTAGAAGGATTATGTTACATCCTTTATTCCGTGGTTCAGATCCATTTTAATAGATTTCAGAACATAAACTAGATTTATAAAAATATATTTTAGAATTTTTGGATGAGGCCTTTAAATTATCCTTTCTTGATTCTACAGGTGCTGAAAATAATTTGCAGTAGTAGGTCAGACTGTTCGTTCCCTTTATGTGCTGTAGATGCCCTTTCCCTTTCTTCACTGTACCGTCCACCTAAAGCTTTCGTTTTTGTGTGTGTTCTCCCAAAGATAGGTGTGGGTTTTTTCTTTTTTTCTTTTCTTTTCTTTTTTTTTCTTTTTTTTCCCAATCTCAGAATGCAGCAAAGTAGAGATCGGAAAATGCTGTTCACAAAGGCAAGGGGCTGATTTGTGAAAAAATGAGACTAATAAAATTTGGAAGTAAACCTGTAAATTTCTGCTCTAGTTTCCTGTGGAAGCCAGAAGATAGGGCACTACATGAAGTGGGAAGAAGTTTGGTAGCTTTCAAATTTTAAAATATGCCTTCATATCCCTTGTCTTTTGCTTCTTAGCTACAAGTTTTAGCAATTGTGCCCTGGTAGGAAGAACTTGGAATCCTTTCAAATTCAGGAGACCATGAGCCCCAGATTCTTAATTCTGTTTTTTTTTTTTTTTTTTTTTAAGTATTATTATTATTCTACTTGCTATTAAAATACCCACTTGCTGTGTTTTACTTTGGAGCACTGCTGTCCAGAATTGGCATAAGGAAGAGAGCGAATTGACTGGATTCCTGCGCTTGGTGGAAAGTGTATTTTGGTTTTTATCAAAAATACAATTTCAGGTTATTAACCAGATATCAGAGTTGCACAGAGTTAAAACACATTTGAGGGCAAATTTTCTCCAATAACAGAATGCAAATGAACTTTCAAGCTTACTTGTATGCAGTAAAAATGGTCTTCCAGCCTCTAGTGCAATTCTTGTTAGAGAAATACAGGTCTAGGACAGGGTGGCTGCTTTGCAGCTGTCATCTTAACGTTAGGGTTGACTGCCTGTGGGTGATGTAAGCAGTGTGCTGTGAGATTTTCCATCGACATACAAGTCTGCAGTTCATAGATACAAGCGTGATAGAAGTTAAAACACCAGGCAGGTTTCATTAACAGTGTTTTCACAAAGTCCCAAACATACTGTGTTCCTTTCCTCTGCTTGGGCAAGAGCATTTGGTGGCTCTTTTGCAGAGAGAATTTCCTTTAGGGTCACTTTGTGCTGTGCCCATGGACCAAGCGGGTGTACCGAGTCAGAGGACTAGTGCTCAGCTGCCTTCCCCGTCGGATGTACGGGGCTCCTGCCCTCTCGTTGGCTTTATGTGGTGCAAGTACGGGTGCTCAGTGTGCAGAAAGTCAAGATCCAGCTGTTGCAGTGAACAGAATTTTACAGATGTGTGTTTGGAGATGTGTTTGAGCTGCCTAGCTGTATTTAGCTCAGAAGACCCTTTCCATACAGGCTTTAAGTAAGTAAGTGGCCTCTACTAGCCATAAATTAATTTGAAATAGAAATGGTAGTTTTGGGTTCAGACAGAAGGGTGCCATGCAAGCAAACAAAGTGAAGAATTGGGAATTGGGTCCTAAACACCTGATTTGGAATAGTATTAAAATTTAAGTTATGTTTCAGGCTGTGCAATTCGAAAATGCTTAAATGCTTGAAATGGTTAAAATTAGGCTTGTGTCTTAAGTGCTTTGCTGAGATAGATACTGAATAAAAATAAATATGGTTAATATGCACAGCTGTGCAACAGTCACTTGCTCCCCTTAAATTCCTTATGTATTTTTATTTAGAATTTTTTTATTTGAGTGACTTACATTAGGTAAGGTTTTGAAAATGTTTTCTTTCAATCCACAGACAACAAATCAGACGCAAACAGAATCTCTTTCTCCATCTCCCAACACTGTGTCACCGGTGCCTTTAAGTAATCCAACCAGTGCCCCAAGGTTTGGAACAGTTATTCCTAACCGGATCTTTGTAGGAGGAATTGATTTTAAGGTATTTATTTACTTATTTTACTTTTTTTGTTTGTTTGTTTCTAGCCATTTTATAACTGTAAAATTCAGTAGGAAAAAATGAGACAAATGATCATATGTGTGTTTGTTTAGGTGGGAAGTGGCTTTCACTGTAATGTTTTAACTGACAGCAGAGAATAAAGCTTTAAATTTTGATTTTTACCTAATTTTGCTGCTAAATTGACTTTTTGTAAGCCCAAGCTGCTAGAAGATAAGTAGGTCTAAGGAATATATTTAAAAGCATTTTATATAATTTAATAAGCAATAAACACATTATCATAGATTGCAAACAAAAAAGTCAGTAGATACAATTCATACATCACTTGTCTTTCAGTTCATACAAAGAGGAAGTTAGGTGTGCATTCTTCACTCTTCATAAGACTTTTTCTTAAAAATAAACCTTCTTTTTACATATTAAAGTTTCTCTGGGTAATTTTCTAGTTCTGAACTCTCAGGCTCCTTATATACTTTTGCGTATGCTTTAAAGACTTCAAATAGCAGAAAATAGTGGGCCATTCTTACATTCTTCAGTCATTTTGAACATTTATGGAGAGATGTAGCAGACCTTCCCCAGCTACTCTCCCTTTTCTTTCTTACAGCTTTAGATAATGAGTTTAAAGTCTTTGACTTTTGCATAACATTCTTGGTCTGCTTAGCTATTCCGCCGTGCCCACCAACAGTATCTTCTCTGCCTTAATCCTCTTAGGCTGAGGACCTTTCGAAGTCTGACTCAGACGAAGAGGAGAAAGGATGACAGTTTACTCAGACTATCTTGCATAATAAATACAAGAACTTCCAGGATCTTCTGGCTCATTTGGCTGAGGCAAATAAAATGGAGATTTTTATAGTTGACGAGATGTCCTACAAGGTCTTCAGTGCATTTGGGCTTTAGCAAAGTGGCACTGTGTCTCCTTGTGTTAATAGTAGAGCTGCAAAAAAGACCTGTGTCACTGTTTTGTCTTCACTACAGTTAAAAAGGTGGAAACTTTATTTTGTGTAACGTATTAGTATTCTTATTAATTGTTATATTTACTGTGAATTCTAAAGGGTCTCTTAAAAAAAAGCCACAATTCTTTAAAAATCTTTTATGTAGTTTTAGAGACATGGGTGTAAGTTTTGTCTAGCATATCTCTAAATGTGGAGATAGGTTTTACTGGGAAAGGAAATGGAAGGGATGAAACCTCTATAGTAATTTTAGCTATCTTTCCATTTATTGTGGCTCAGCTGTTTTACATATCCTGCATTTGAACAAAAATTTATCAGTCAGTCTTGGATTTCTTTTTACCAGAAATCTGATGGCCAAAGAGTGGTGGTGGTGGTGGGTTTTTTTTTCCTTTGTTTTTTTTTTCCCAAAGGTCCTTGTTCAAGTTAGGCAAAAAAAGTTTAAAGCTACTTTATAATTTGTGTGTGTGTGTGTGTGAGAGAGAGAGAGAAGTGGATGCTTCTCCTCAAAAAAAAACTTAGTTTTCAGACTTTTTCTTCTCTTTTACCATTTTGCCAGACACTTCCATTTGGTCCACAGCAAAAAAAAAAAAAAAAAAGGCATCTGGCCTCTTTAATTTAGAAAACTCATTAGATGAGAGAAATGAACTGTTACAGCTCTAGATAAAACTTTAATTTACAGTTGTGTAACTTTTCACATAGATCTGAAGGCATCTTTCTTTAGTGTTTGGTGATGTGCGTCTTTGAGCCGAGTGAAGGCTTATTATTAACCTTTCTTGAAAATCTAGCAAGTGCTGTTGTGTCCTGTCACAAGAAGGAGAGAACTCAAGATCTGAATGCTTTCTGGCAAACCTCTAGATACTGTGTTTATGCAAATGCTTGTCAACTTCCCTGTCAATCTCTCAGAACAGTATTCTATTTTCCTTCATCAATATAGTGTTCTACAGATAAACTTTTGAGTTCTGAAGTTTATGGTCAAGCATGTATACGTTCTCCACATCCTGTAGATGTTGAATGAAACTTTCTGCATTGATCTCTTTGCCTGTGCATCAGGATATTTTAGGTTTCAACAATGTTATCATAGTTTCTTATTCTCATCTTGCACACAATATTTACAGCTTACAAGACTGACAGAAAAAAATCTCCCAGAAATGGGGAATCTTGCCTATAGGGCTTTCATTTCTAAGCAGATAGACTCAACCATGTGAGTACTTTACCTTAATCATTTGGCTGAATTTTTATTCCCATATATACGGGCCTTCACCCTTCTGTTTAGGTGTAAAGCATGATTGTCCATTCAAGAGAGTAGTTCTGGATTTCCTTCCATGGGTGATAGTTGTTTGGGGACTGGTGCAGGCTGTTTCCAGGGAGAAAAGATTATTGCTGAGCTTTAATGAAACACTGAAGTGCATTTTGCCGGTTCAGATCCATTCATACTTGTCATTATTCCCCACACTTGCAGAGTAGGTGTGTATATTCTAATGTTATAATGGAGGGGGAAAAAAAAAAACAAAGGATAACTAGGGGAAATCACACAGCCTTCTACCGTCAGTGCTTCCTTTTGGTTAAGAGCTTGCAACATTTGATGGGAAGTTGTTTGTTTTGTGGGATTTTTTTGCTGCTTTAACCCTTCCTGCTTTTCAAATTCAGATAAGGTAGACAAGCCTTGGATGTGAAAGGGAAGATTTTGCTAAATTATATTCGTATATTTCAAAGCAATAGAAAATAACTTCTTAGAAGTAAAATAGTACTAAGTATACTTCCTTAAAATACTGAAACATGTAGATGAATATAGAAGTCGTTTAAGGCTTACTGAGATCTGCACACATCACATCAGCATTAGCTATAGTTATCAAAAGACCATGCAGAGCAGAGCACTGCAATCCATACTATGGCATTCAAGGATATGGTGCCCTACACCATGCTAAGCATTGTAATGGAAAACTAATGCAGAGAGGGGAGAGGAGTATTTGCATAGTCCAGCTGTGTGTTTGCTTCAGGTAAGCATCACAAACAGTTTTCTCCAAGGTATTGAGCTTGTTCTCCATTAAAAGCACCTTTTTTGCTGGATTTGTTTTGGGGAGTTCTTAAATATCCTTTAGATAGAAGGATCAGTGTTTTGCACAGACTTATTCATTAACTCTCTGTGACCTGCACACATTCTTCATAGAAGCCTACATAAACTACTGTTTTGAGGCTTGAGAACATTACCACAATGTGTTTCGTATTGTAAACTGTGTTCACGTACATAATTTATAGAAAATATAATTCAGAACTAAATCTAAACCCACTCACAACCTTTATCCAGCATGCAAACTTTGTTATTTTAGCGAGCTTCTAACATTATTGCTGCATGTGAAAACGGAGAAATAAAAGTGGAGCTCTTTTCTTGTTCTTTTATTGTGATGCATGTATATGTTCATTCTTCCACACAAATTGTATCGAAGGTTAAAATTAGTTTTGTGGTAACTTTATTCAAAGTATATTAATTGATTAACTGTACAATATCTTTACCTCTCTTTTCTTAATTTGCTTTACTAGACTAATGAAAATGACCTAAGGAAGTTTTTTGCCCAGTATGGCTGTGTGAAAGAGGTGAAGATAGTAAATGACAGAGCTGGAGTATCAAAGGGGTTGGTATAGTAGAGTAAGCATGTTTAGAAATTGAAAGTATAACAGAAAATTTACTGACCAGTAAATTGAATAAGACTTTAATAGTTAACAATATGATGTTATCAATAGTCCTGGTTATGCTGTACATACAAAATTCTGCTGTTACTTCTACATATAAATGCCTTTTTAAATTGCTTAATTATGAAACTGTGTAATTATATCATTATTGTGTAAGAAAGCTGCGTGTTACTAAGAAAAATGTTAATAGCAATAATAATTTAAATAGATAATCCTAGAAGAGTAATTTGGGTATTTAAAATACGTATTTTTGCTTCTGAGAGACGGTGTGGAGAGATGTCTTCTCTCTTCCTCCGTTCTCAGACATCTGATTGTGGTGGAATACAGGAGAAGATTTGAGATCACTTTGAAGAAGGGTTTTGGAGACAAGAACACAGGGGACAAATCTGAGAATGAACTGACTGCAGAAAAGGGAACTAAGACTGAGTTTAAATGATGAGAAGAGAGAAAGGCCAAAGAGTAAATCTGGAGAAACATAAAGGCTGTTAAAAAAAAAAAAGTCCCTGTTAAAACCCCAAAAATGGAGAAGGAATGTAAGCAGCATAGGCAGTGCTGCAACAGAAATCTAATGGCAAGCGAATTGAAAGAGAAAGGAATGTTCTAAAGTATGTTCTCTTAGTTCAGAAGAGCTCTTCAGAGCAGAAGGTCCATGCATGATGCATCTCATAATTTTAGTGGTGGCAGCAGCTACTATAAATTAGTAAATTGCACCCTGAGCTGCTGGTCTTATCTTCATAGAGCATGCGTACCTGGCATGTTCCTGTGACCATTGTGCCTGCTCCCAGTTGGGTGCTTAAGCCTCCTGAATTTGCTAAATTCAGAACAGTGTTTGAGACTACAGTATGCACATCCTTACACTAAAATAATCCCAGAAGATCCAGTTATTACACAGTTGTGATTGTCAACAGGCGATCTGCAATAAAGATGACAGAAAAGAATCGCTTACAGTGACTATTTTAACTGAAATCTAAGAACAAGCTTGGTAGGTTATGGTTGACAAGAGGTTTACAAAATTTATTCCCAAGTTTCTGTCCTTATATAGAATTGAAAGCCTTTGTAGGTAAGACCTCAAGTTAGACGACTAACTTCTGTGGTCTTTGGATGTGGAGGGTTTTCTAGGCTTGGTTAGAGAAGATAATAATAGCAAAGGCCCAGAGATTTAGTAGTGTAACTGGTCAGAGTTACTGAATTTGAGTACTAAAATGAACATGAAAATGTTTGCCTGGAATGATAGTATGTATTGCAAAATCTGATCTGTAGCCTAGAATGACAGAGCCCTTTTCAGTAACTCTTGTAGTCTCATCCTAAGAAATGAGCACAAACCTAAGAAAACATCCACACAAAATCATTAAAATAATTTTTTGAAATGTAGGAAGCTAAAGTTCATTTCAAAGAATTTTGAGGGGTTTTTTTTTTGAGGGGGAGGGTACATATATGTTAATTTCAGACACCCTTAATAGAACAAATTCCTTTTTAAAAAAAAATTCAATTTGCTACCACATTGATAGACATAGATTTCCTCAGGAATTAGTTTAGAGATTTGGGTACAGCAGGAGTTCTGTGTAGAAACAGCCCATTTGATTCATTGCAGCAATTAGAAGAGGAATGGTATAAGAGACCTAATATGTCATAAAGTATAAAACTATTTTGTCCTCGAGCGTACCACAGTACTCTTGCTTAATGCTAATCATGTAATATGCAAAAATAATTCACAGATGAATGCTATCTCTGCTCTGCTGTTTTCTCTCAGAACCCAGTTTAATATACTGGGTACTACTTGTGAAACTGTGGAGCATTCAGAGATGTCACTCAAGTAGATAGGAGCTATACTGTGAAGATAAGTACTGTATAATCAGAATCATATCCTAGGTGTCTCATCTTGGATGCCTATAACTAAGGAGAGCTGTAGATTGAAACTGTCATAACAGAAATGAAGGAATTAAAGACATACAGATATATAATGAATATCGAAGAAGATACAGGACATTCTGAATAACTATTTAAATGAGCTACTCATTTACTGCATTGAAACAGTATTATGTGATCATGTACTTAAACAAGGCAGATTATAACAAGGATGCTAAGTTAGGATTGCAGTCGTTATTATGATATTTATTTCTAACTATTTTTTCATCATTTTATTTTTTAAATGTCGTTTGTACTATATGTAAGTATTAACAGGCAATACAAATATGAAATTCAAATTCCAGAGACTTAGCTCCAATAATTTTTTTTTAGGTATGGCTTCATCACTTTTGAAACCCAAGAAGATGCACAGAAGATTTTACAAGAGGTAAGTGATGTTTCTCATTATGGTTATCTCTTAAAATTTCACATTAGTCACTTAGTAGCTTAGTCCTGTGTTTGCCAGTTTGGATTTGCAGATCAGCTGAGATTGGTCATTTTACATTCTTCACCCCTCCCAATTTATCTGAGTTATTGTCTTAAGAGAGGATTTATGTTGAGATCTTCTGGAGCTAGAGAAGGGACTTGCACTTCACACCTGAGCACTAGGCTTTGACAAACACTTTTTCTCATCCTTTATGTACTCCACAAAGTAGTTCTCTTAGTGCATGCTAAATACTCTTTGTTCTTCACATTTGTTTTAATTTGCTTCAGTAGAAGATTAATCACTATGAAGTTTTGTGGGGAGCTGGGAAGAATGTCTGCTTGTCTCTTTTTCTGACACGTTTGTGAGAGCTGGTGTTCCTCTCCTCAGGAATAATTAGATTGACTTGAGAAATCTTAAACAGTGAAGCTTGTTTTATGTTATGCTATTGTTGCTTCTACACTTTGCTAGATTAGTGTCTTAAGGTTCTTTCTGGAACATTTCTTGACGTGGAGCTGTAGTGAAGCTCTTCAGTTCTTCATTTTTGAAAATCTGTGTTCCATGGTCTTATTGGATTGCTGTATCAGTCTGGGCCTATTTATTTACAGAAAGGTATATGGAAGAAAAAAAAAGAGCAGAAAATAGAACCTAAGACTGGCAAATTGCCCTGTCCCTAGAGCAGTGGAATTTAAAATGTTGAAAAAAATGAACCGAAGTTGAAATTTCACATATTAAGAAAAAATTAAATAAAAAGTAGTTGGGACATTTTTAAGTGTCTTGAGTGCTTCTAAAAAAATATGAGTCTAGACTGGAGAACGAAGATAGGAAGAAACTTCCTGAGTCAGCTTTTTTTCTTTATTGTTTTTTGTTTTCAGTCTCTCCTGTGAACCAGGAGAGTACCCATGATTCTGAGGAGCCTTTGGAAAAAGGCCTAGTGTTTTCCTGTGTTGTGCCTGGAAATCTGTGGCATGGGAAGCCTTCCTGGTACCTCATTCAATGATACTAACTCGTTTTTGTCTACAGAAGTACCTTAACCTTAGACATCTTTTGCCTGTATTGCCATTTTAACCAATGCCTTGTACTGCTCTTTCATATTAATTCTACAATCAATTAGTATCTCGGTCTCTCTCTCCCAGATGTTTTCAGTTGATGAGCTCCCAACCTTTAATAGTTATTTTGCTTGGAATGAATCATCTCTCATTTTGTACAATTGAATTTCATCTCACTTGCATTACTGGTGTCTTCAAGGTCATCCTGGCCTTTTGTATGATATTCTGATCTCTTGCATTGATTTTTTTTTTCTTTTCCCTTTTTTGGCTCCTACTTCAACATCACCAATAATTTCTTCAGATTTTTCCTTTTTTATTTTGCACTCTATGATGAAGATATTAAATTGGGTAAGTCTACAGACCGCGAGGAGTTTCACTAGCTTCTTCTTTCTAGACAGATCATTTCTAATGCTTCCTCTTCCTGTTTTCCTTAGCTTTTCCTGTTAATCCCCATTTTCTCTAGAATCACTTGCGATTTCTCATTGCAAGTGATTCTCATGCAGTGCTGTATTAAATGTTTCCAAAAAGTCCGTAGAGATTAGCTATTTCTCTTAACTGCAAATCATACATACGTGTGTGTGTGTATTTTTATATGTATGTATATACAAGCAATCTAAATTCTAATGCATCAGATAAATGAAGATGATTGTGCAGGGAAGGATCTTCTTCCTTCAGCCTGTGCTGGGAAAGGCTTTGACTGCAGTGTGCATCTGTCTTTCAGGGGGTTGCTCTACATTTGCTAGGTAGGTTTGCCCTAGTTTATACCTTTTTATGAAGACTGTAATTCAGTGCAACAGTATAGCCTCTTCCTAATATTTAATCTTGAGGGTGAGACTTGCTTTACATACAGGTGTTTAAATATTTTACAAAATTGGACCCAAATGAAGAAAGAATTTGATTATCTAGCACCCATTTGTTGGATGAGCTTTCCAACTACATTTCGTTCTATATTCTTCTGTAAGTTGAAGTCATAAATTAACTCTCTTATTCAGCGATTGTAGCTCTAACGGTGAAAACTTACTGTAATGTGGTAGTGTTTTGCATGCATTCACTCTTATGTAAATATTCATGGAGGGAGACCTCCTTATTCCTTCAGGTTTTACAAAGCAATATTAAAGAGATTGTGACAGATGAAAAAACCCTACCGTTTGCCCTCTTTCTTCCCATTATATTAGCAAGCAGAGTGCTAATTTTGAATTTAAAAACAAGGACAGGGTTTTTTATTTTATTTATGGGGTTGTACATGACATTCCCTTTCTGTTACATGCAAAAGATTTTGAAGGGAATGTAGGTTTACTGTTCCCTGATTAGCATTGTTTTAGTTCTGCTGCTGTAGTTTAACTTCACTAGTATACTGGTTCTAGCCCGCTTTTATATTTTATTAGCCTGGATGCAAGTAAGTTTTAAGGCAGTCATAAGTGATTATGAAAATAAGAATATTTCTCTGTTCAGTCTTTGTAATTAGGTCCTTTCCATGTAGTCACTTGTTGCTGTCTTTTTTTGTAAAATATGTCACAATTGTGAAAAATGGAATTTAATCTTTATGCTTGAAATTGTCTGGGTGCACATAAGATTTTATAAAAAGCACTAAATACATGATTTCATGAGGACAAATGTAAATCTAAAATTTGCTGAAAGTTATGATTATCTGTTGTTATTCAGGAGGCTCTGTTTAGAGTCAATAATATTTGAAATTCCTAGTGATTGCTTTTGATAGAGTCAGGATAGAAAAGGGATGGTTCCAGTTCTTGTTTTTGTGGTACACTGCAAGTAAAAGGCAGGGGAGGGCTGAAGCCTGTGAGGTGACTTATATACTTTTGATTTTCAATTCTTGGATGCCTAGATAAATGTAAAAAATACAAAAACTGAATGCTTTTTTTTTTTTTCCATTCTAGGCTGAAAAGCTTAATTATAAGGATAAGAAATTGAATATTGGTCCAGCAATAAGAAAACAACAAATAGGGATTCCTCGTATGTATTTTCACTTACATTTTTATGTTATGTATGTAAGTGTGATTATGAATATAGACTTTTAACCAAAATGTGCCCACCCTGCACTGCATTAGTGCTGTGCATGGCATATGCTTAGAATAGTCAGTAGGGGAAGTAAATACATAGCAGTGGAAATGTCTTAAGAAGCAGATAGATGGTATTTGGTTCTTTTGTCTCTTTAATGTTTTCTTTACATCATTTCTTTGAAAAAAAAATCACGTCTCTGGGAACCAGCTGAATGGCAATTTCTCTGGAATGATAGCATGCCGCTTCCGGGTGCCAGGCAGTTGTAATCTAAGCTGTTAGAAAGGCTGTCCTCACAGATACCCCAGGATTGAAAGTGTTTTGCTGCTTGGTTGTTTGTGTTGATACTGATTTTCGAAGAGCAAAATCTGTAAGGATGGTTGCACCTTTGTTGCTATA